GGTCGCCAATAAACATGGTGGTGCTCCAACACTTGACGCAAGATGAAGATGTGGTCGATGCAGCCGCGACCTTGACGAAATCCGGCTTGCTCTTCACGAATCTGGCTTTCACGAGTGCCAGTCAGTCTGTGGAGAATGACAGAGGCAAACAATTTAGAGGCAATCGAAATCAGACTGATCCCTCTATGATTGCCACATTCCAAACGAGAGCCTCCCTTGAAAATTGGGACAATGACGGAGCGGTTCCAGTCTGTCGGGACTGTCTCCTGCTCCCAAAGTCTTACTAGCAACTCGTGTAGATCATCCACTAGAGCAGGTCCCCCGAATTTGAAGAGGGCTGGGGGAATTCTGGCTGCTCCTGAGGCCTTATGCAATTTCAACAGCCGGATCTCACGTTCGACCTCTGCGCGTGAGGGCGGATCCGAGGAGACGGCCCAAGGAGAAGGGTGCTCAATGCCCGAAGAAGAAAGCGATAACTCAGGTGGGTTAAATTGCCTTGCAAAGTGTTCGGCCCAACGCTCCAAGCGTTTTGACAAGCTGTGGATCGGCTGCCCACTCTCGTCGCGTATGGTCTCGCTAACACCAGGTCTCCTGCTGCCTGTTTCCCGTATCAGACGGAATAACTTACGATGATTACCAACGGCAGCGGCTGTTTCCATCTCAGAGGCACGATGAGACCACCAGGTTTCGCGGTCCTTCCTAAGGCTAGCACTTAGTATTGCCCTGAGATTTTTGCGAGTCTCATTGTATTCGCTTCCAGCCGGAATACGTCGGCGAACATCAATAAGTTCCATAGACTGTGTAGAGACCCAATGTCCGGTTTGGCAATTTGCTTTGCCATATGAAGACATGCCTGCGGACAGTAACGTTTGACGAATATGCGACCAGTGATCATCAACGGTGTTTAGTGGGCGCTTACCCAGCCCAGATGTCAGCGCACTATGGTATACATTCAGAACATCTGGCTTCGCCAGTTGGCTGGTGTCAATCCGTTCACCTCGACGTTGCGGACGTCCACCGAAACGCACCCGGAGGTCGGCACAGACAAGTGCGTGGTCAGAGTCCACGATCGTGCTCCAAATTGAGCGACAATTTTGGACACAGCCCCTCCAGCGGTAACTGATCGCGATATGATCGATTTGTGTCCATGGCTGGCCCGAGGCTGATGGCCGCCAAGTCACGCTTCTGCGGGTGCTGTGTCGGAAGTTAGTGCTAGCGAGAAAGAGGCGAGTATCTTCACACAGATGCAGCAATCGCTCACCATTATCATTACGCGAGCCTACACCATGTTGGCCGCCCAGATGAAGCTCATCAGAGGACAATTTTCCGACTTGGGCGTTTAGATCACCAGCCAACACCACAGTATCCGTGCTTCTTCTGTAACGAAGGAGCTCGTGAAGTTGCTGATAGAAATCATCTTTTACCGAATCGGTGCTACAGTTTGTAGGGGCGTAAGCCGCAATGACAAACAGGCACCGTTTGTCCCCGCGCGACTTCGTAGCACGGAATGAACCAGCTAATCTAACGGCACACATCCTACTATTTACTGGGATCCAATCAATCAGGGCAGCTTCAGCCCGGGGACTCAAAACAATGCCAACGCCAGCTTGACCGGCATTTGAAGCTGCATCATCGCCAGACAGGCGCAATGAGAATGTGCCGCCAGTGTCGCATGTGGGGGATCTCAGGGTAAGTACGGAGCTCGAATCAAGCAGGCGGGTTTCTGATAAACAGCAAATATCGATCGATAGGGTCTCTAGTGTGCGGGCAAGTGCTGCCTGTTGGCCAATCTGCAGCAAAGTGCGCACTTGAAGCATGCCAGTCTTAGAGAGACGCGAGGACTCCAAAGGGAAACGGATGAACTGACGTTGTCCGCTTGCTTGAACATGGACTTGTCAACTGGATTGGAGTGAGGCCCTGGGATTGTGTGTGATTTGAAATTAAAAGGCAAGCGACTACTGAAGAAAGCTGGGGGAGGGCCAAGAATTGGGGGATTGAAAATGGGGGGGGGATATAAGTAAAGTTGGAGCGGGACGATAAGGATGAAGAAGCGCAAGAAGGGGTATAAGAAGACGGGAAGGCCTGAGCAGTAGCATCCATACCCCTATCCACCCTGCTCGATGCAGCAGATAGGGCGCCGTTGATTATCCTCTGCGACGGCCAGAGCATCAAGAAATTGTTGTAGGAAAGTTTCATTGTATTGCGTGGGCAGAATACTGTCAGGTTGCCCAGGCCTAGACAGGAGAACGATTAGGGTTCTCAACCAAAGCCTTTGGGTCAAAAACCTTACCGCAAGGCAGCGGGTTTTGGCACTGAAGTGAGGAGCCCGTTTTATGAAATGAGGAGCCACCCCCATTCCAACCCCCAACCTGGAGGACCAGGAGGCTGAGTTTGTCTGGCCTCTAACCATTGAAAAATCTGGTATGAGCGGCTCTGAAGGTGCAAAAGCACCACGCAGCATGGCTCAATGGATCTCTGAGGCACGCAAACCATCGCACCACGGTAAGGTCTAGCCTCATTGCGATGGCAACGTCAGAGTACTCCAAGATCTTTCACGGATGGCGATGGGTGTAAGCTTTGGCCGGCAATTACCAACCTTGCTCAGGCTCATGAATACCGACTTGACAGGGTTGATCGGACGGTTGACCTTTGCTGACCACATGAAGAGGCAGTTAAGGTAACGCTGAAGCAGGTCAGAATCATCGGGCACCTCAATTACCCTCCATACCTTAAGGTCATCTACAAACAACACGCGGGGTGAACTGAGACAAAGCTTTGGTGTGGATCAGGAACAAAATGGGCCCAAGAACTGTGCCACTGGTCAAGGGATACCACTCGGTTAAGTGGTTGTCCATCTGCACCCTTCAGGTCCGAGCAATAAGAAAGTCATGGATCCACTGATGCAGTGAGGCACCAACACTGCACATCTTCAGCTCATGGTTCCCCTTGTCAAACGCTTTACTGACGTCGATGTAAATGACGTCAACCGAGTTCCCTTGGTTTAGCGCTTGCAGCCATTCGTGCCTCGTGAGCAGCAGGCTTGTGAAGCATGACCGAGCTTTCATGAAACCGTGATGCGTGGGTGTTAAGATGATTTTCGACTCGAGATGCTGCAGAAGACCACGCTCCACAATCATCTCGAGTGTCAGCCAAAAGAGAGGTTAGGCATATCGACCGGTAGTTGTCCACACTGCTCGGATCGCCTTACCACTGAGCATTTTCAGTCGCTCGGCCATGAACCGGTGGACAGCGACCAGTTGAATAGCGCAGTCAGCGAAGGCGAGATGATGGCCGATAGCGATTTAACAGCGGATGACTCAGCAGGCTTAGTACTGTCAAGAGCGGCGAACAATTTGCGCAAATCCTCAATGCTGTTATCCGGGGTTAGTAAGGGCGATATGCGTCGAACTCGGTACGAACGCCCGGCCGAAACGCAACAGAAGTACCTACAGCTGCTACCGAATGACGCTAATGAAGTCCCTAGTCGTCACATACATGAGGCCGACACAAAATATATCGAGCGCAACAAAACAATGATAGGTCTTTGCCCCTGAGTGAGATTAGATGCAGCTACTCAATGCATGTCATAGCAATCGATCTGACGCCGTGCCGGTTCATTCAAGGATCGGATGTTTCCGTAGGTTTGAAGGATGCTCCAATCCACATGATGGCGTGGTTGAAGCAGTCAGTACAAGTACACAGAACATAATTGGCGTAAAGGAACGGAATCTAAAGAGGAAGGATTATTGACAAGTACCATGTGGGCAGAGAATACTATTCGATTGCCTATTCAAAAAGAGAGACTTAGTTCTAAGTGTCCCAACCAAGGGGATTGACTTAAATCTGATCTACAAGTCAGTGGAGTTAATGGAGGTCCGTCTAATGGTCTCTATCAGGGGGCTTTGGCTCCACAGTTTGATCCACAAGACTGCGGGGAAAGGCCCAAACATTGAGTGCGACTACATTCCCTCTTGGATCTGTTCGAAGTCAACTACGTGTAGGTTTAGGAGAATTACAAAGACTGGTCCGTGGTCGCTTGCCTTTATTCACAGTACTAACTTTTGTGGTCTCTCGTGCACCAAATTTGGGCTGGCCGGTGGTCGAAGTAATGAGGGTATGTCTCGTAACCCATAAGTCATCTTTTAGGATCTGCATAGATGCGGATGATGTCGCGGTACTCCTGAACCGAAGGAAACCGCTGATGGTCGCGTGACAGCGGATCATCAATACGACTTACCGGTGTTCTGAGGTAGATGCCTCATAACGATTCATGGATGTTTTCGACAGTAGCAGATTACCCGTCGGCGACGACGGCCAAATTAAGCCGGGATCGCAGCTCTTGGACTAGGGGATGACAGGCCTGAGGCAGGAGTTAGTAAGACATTAAATACCCAGCGATGCTCTTTCACCGCCAGAGACAACGCCTGACACCCCAGTTCTAGGTCAATCGAGTAGTTCGCAACTCGTAATCCGCTGTGTCCAATGGTTAGGCTTTAAACTAGGAAAGCTGTCAGCCACCTCCGAAGACGGGGTTAGTCTGAATCGTAACCATCTACCAGTTCCGCATGAGTGGCTGAAGGCATCTGCAAAGTGTTACTCAGCGCAGAACGATGGGTGGTTGGCGAGCAAAAAGCATCACATTACGTTAAGGCCCAATCTCGTTGAGGTGGCTAGCGCAAAGGGACCTATGAACAGAAGATGTTAGAGCCAAAAATAATGAAACGGAAAAAGGAGGCGAACGTAAAAAGTGTTATCCAACGGATGACGTTGAGATCAGAAAGTTGTCAGAAAGGAAACTAAGGAGTGTATAACTGGATAAGTGAAGTACGCGACAAATTTCATGCTCTTCGGCAAAATCAGCGTAATGGTCATAACCAAAACAGTGGTAGCGATTGGCGAAAAGACAACCTTAAAGATGACAAAACAGCGAAATGTCTTCAAATTGAGAACGTCATGATTTCTTATACAAAGGGCTATCAAAATTGATGTGTCCGTACGAGGGACACTCAAGTTTCAGTCAATTTGTGAGAACCAATGAATTAGGGAACATCGCAGACTCAGCAAATGACGCGAAACAACCAGTTTTATCAAAGTGATGTATTGAGCAAACGACTGATATCAAACATAGGAACACGCCGAGAGTAGCACATTCTTTACATAGTAAAAAGGTGCTTGATACAAAGAGGACGCATGCACAGAATGAAAGAGAAACGACGAGCAGGTGGCTCTATATAAAATGCCTAACATCACATTCACTGAAATAGGAGTCTATGTAGAGAACTGGAACACAAAAACAGAGTCAAAATCCTACTATCCATTGGCTTGCTCGAACAGGAACAGAGCCGCACAGCCATATAGTGGGTGAAAATGAACTCGTGACAGTGTGGCCCAAAGAATAATTGCCCTGAATGAAAGCAAGGACAGCTGGTCATGAGTGGGTCAAGCGTGGAAGACGCGCAGTTGATAAGGAGAAAATCCTATCGTACTGTAATTGCTGCCTTGCAAGAATAGTGATCAAGCGTATGTACAGCATTGGGGGAGGTGCCAGAAGTGTCATGTACACGACGATCGTTGCTCAGGCGTTGCTGCGATCTTATGCCGACGTTTGTAGACTTCACCTCTTGATGTCATATAGCGCGTGAGGCTGGAGCGAATGGTGTCCTGTAGGGTTCCAGTCAATATTAGTGGCGAGGATGATCGGGTGTGGCGTATTTCCTTGGATACAAAAGCGTGGGTTAGCTAAAACGAGGTAAAGAAGGTGAGGTGAAAGCAATTATGGCAATTTGCTCAAGATGATAGGCGATAGACAAGTACTTGCAATACGCTGATACGCCTTACAGACGCTTCGCTGCTACGCCACCACTAACGGTCGCGCATGTGTTGAGCAAACAGCGAGGGTATCCGCACGTAGGCGGATTCGTACCAATGATCCCCGGATTATAAAACAGGCGAATAATCCTTCCAGTCACCGTGTGATAGGGGAGATGACCATATAAAGAGTATTCTCTATCACATACGGAATCCAAAATCAAGGTTCTGTACCAGTTGATACAAAAATAGCAGTAAACGAACAGCTTTTTCTGAGTTATCAAAAGTAGCCGAAAGGGATGTCGGAGGAGAAACCAGATAACGAGTGAAGAAATGGGCACAGAAATATTTGACGAGTGGTGAACTTGTGCTGAATGCCACAAGAAGGATTATCAAAGTCATTAAGAGCGTTATAGTGTAACGTTTACTGTGGCACACTAAACGGTTAAGGGAAACGAGAAAGCAGGTTTAGTAGGAATCCAATCTAGAATAACTACAATTCCTTTATATTCTGTGTAATGACTGAAGTTAGTCGACTACACGCTGCTGAGGCTGGCGAAGCAGCAGCAGCAAGCTTAGACAGTGGAAATACTTAGGCCCCTAAAGAGGAACACATCAGAAGTTTGTGGGTTGGGTCAGTGGCGCAAAAACCCATAGGGGTGCAATGATTAAAGGCAAAAGCAAGCAAAACATAGGTCACCTGACATTTACAGGAATAGAAGTGGATATCGCGATGAGTTTCATGACCATAAATGGCAAAACAACAAGCTACTGCAAAAAACATGGTGAAAACATACAAAGAGAGCAGCAGAAAATGAGGGGGACGAAAGTAAGCTGTATTTTCATTCCGCTAAAAATGTGCAACTAACTGCTTAGAGGAAGATGAACTGGATACTCACCTTCCGAGCAATGTGGACGAGGTCGCTGTGGGATTCGATGCGGCCAGTGAGGCAATTCGGAAGGCGATAAGGTCGTAGTAGACGCAATATATAATTCCCAACCTAAGGGGAACAGGTCAATGACCAAAGAGCAGCAGCACCATCATACCTCAACAGTAAAATCCTTTTCCATTTTCTTCCTGGAAGCCTTATCCAGTGGCTGTGGTGCGGACGGCACCTGTAACGAAAATAGTCGCATAGAAGGGTCAAATGAAAATGAAACTGTCGTGCACGGGATGCCCAAAAACCGGAAGATGTGTGATTCGTGGAGCGAACTTGGTTTGGAAAACGCGTTATTGAATTAGAAAAGTGAATAATGAGTTACAGATGAGAGTGCCCATAATAACTACACTTACGGGTTGCTTTTCTATATCACTACTAGAAGACTCGTGCAAGTGATCCAGCGACTTTACAGGCGGTCGCTCCCACTGAACAACTTTTGTAGTCATGTTATAGTAATAGGTCCGTCCACTTGGATCTACAGCCGATTGCCATCCAGGGGGAAGGAGGAAGTCCGAGCAGTCAGATTGCTTCGTCATGTTCTCGCATAAACGAGTTATCTGAATTGAGGAAGAAACGCTTCAGTGGCAAAGCCGAGAAAAGGACGAAATGTGCGCACCGAAATGCCAACGAAAAGAGGCAAGGGCGCAGCATTAGACGAGATAGATCAACAAAGCACATTGCATGAGAACATAGTTTGAAAAACACACGGGCACAGCAGTGGCATCTATTGCTTAACTGGTCCTTTGATGTCACATTATAATGATGAGGGCCCACTGAACAATGAGAGCAGGGAGAAAAAGACTAAATAAGCGAGTGTATGCTCTTCAGTGGCAACCAATCAGAGCGAAAACTACGGAGTAAAGTAATTTTTGGTAGCAAGAAAATATTCGGTGCGGTTGCACGCTCACCAAATCAATTAGAAGCAAAGCTACATTGCACTGATTCCATCTGGCCGGTGGCCGAGTGGTATGCGCGTCTGGTTTGCAACCATAAAGTCACCGGTTCGAATCCGCGTAGGGGCGGGCGTCCTCGCGGTATACTCAGCCCACGCGCGACTGGTGGTGGTCGCGTGGCAGCGAAGCGCCGTTACGGCGTACAGCTGATGATTTACTTACTTTATCTGGCCTGTTGTTAAGATCTATCGTTTGAGCCATGAAGGTAGCTGGGGTTGGGTTTCCAACAGTGGATCGTGTCACCTGTGCCGTCAAAAAACAACACGGCAATTGCGTCTTGAAACGCGACAAGCAGGTTTGTTACAAGAAGGAGTTAGAGTTGAATGACAGTGCGAATCATACCACTATCTAAAATAGTTGGATGGAAATAACTGAAAGTGCTTCAAGAAATTTCAGCATTTGTAGGATGAACAGCTAGTTTTAAGTAAATATGCATATTTTGAAAATCAAACAAGAAGTGAACTCACCGCTGAGAGATCTTTGGAAGTGGATAGCTTGGATAGAAGAAGCGGAATTACTTGTAAAAGCGTGTTGAATAGAATAGTCGTATTCGCAGTATTGGACAAAATGCCACTTGTGGTAGACTCGGACTTCCGTAACTCAGACAGAAGGCAATGTGAAATAAGCTGTTGAGGAGAGGGGGTAGAAAAATGGAGAGATTGTGAAGCTGACTTAAAAGTTATGGAAAGAAAGGAAGGCAATAACGCAATATCATCGTATTACCTGGCGCAATTCGTCCACCCCATTGTTGTTCACGGCAACTTCCGTGGGTTTTATAGTGGAGGAAGTCATTTCGGCTTTCGCCTCATCTGCCTTCACTTGTGCTTCAAATAACCTTCGGCGCTCGGACTTTGACAGCGTGTTAGTTTCGATGGTGAAAGTGACTGCGTTGCTGCCAGAGGTGACTTCAGTACGTTTGGATCTAATGAACGGAAAGGATCGATATAGAGGAGATCGACAAAAAGTGTTCAACAGATGTAAATCAATAATTTGAAAATAACCTAACCTGCTGACTTGAGAGTTTTTAGCTTCTGCTGAGTAGCTCCATGAAGTGAATGAGTTCTTCTGATCATCTGAAAAGTGAGACAACAAATCTGTTCGCACAAAGTAAATTCAAACAGACCTCACAAACAAAAGAGGTGTAGACATGAGAACAAAGTTAAAAATTGTATGATAAAATAGCAAAACTTCTGAATCACGCCGAATTTTCTTAAGATGGACTGCGATCAGAAGCCGGTGGAAATAAGAAAAGGAAATCGTGGGGAAAACGCTGTTTGTCATGGGGATAAAATTAACAAATTGAAACAGAGACAACATCACATCGGACATAGCGACTAGTTTAGAGGCGTATGTTTTCATTTGATGAGCCAAGTATAGTATACGATTGAATAGACCAGTAGAACAAAGTGACCCAATGATCCAACAGATATGAGCAGTAACTATGGACAAGTCAGTACGATGAAAGTGGATGCTACTGAGATGGAATTCATCGGGATCAATGCAAGAGGTAGGTTGCAAACCGATAGCAACAGTAACTTGGCACGTAGATAGGACTAGGACACCAAAAGAAAATAAAACATTTATTGACATATTGCAATGCAATTAGACAGTAGTAAACAAAAAAGCAAAGAAAAAAATGGGTCGTTTTGACTCCTGCAGTGGCGTCGAGATCGTAGTTGGAAAGAGAAGCCAAGAGGGATGGGATCAGGTAGAGAAACAACACAAACGCTATTGAGATGGGTCCTTCGCTCCATCATCTTGCGGATGGCATGAAAAAGAAGTCAAAATAGGCGTACATAGGCGTTTGTGCGAACCGGCAGTAACACAATGCTGAGATTGGTAATGAGCACCTAAGGTAACATCTTACAGCGCTACGAAATTATAGCACCCATGTTTCAAGTTGCGATGGCTCTAACACAAGTTCAGATTTAAAGACCCCTGCCTATTCAATCAAGTGTACAAGAATAAGAGAACGCAAACGCTTACCTTGATGGCCCCATGAGACCAGCGACGAACTAATGAGATCGAAATGCAGCTCCTTCTCAGTTTCTTGGCGTTCCGTACGAGGAATGCGATAGTTCTCCTTCTAGAAAATGAAAAGATAAACAAGGAATTATGGAGAATGTATGAGGGCTATTTTGTTCTCCAGACGGAGCTTACGAGACTCTGTGAATCAGACCCTAGCTTAGCAGCGCAACGTCTGCGACCAAATTTCCCAGTTCGAAGGACAAAACAACCCACACAAAAAACGGGATAACCGTAGGCTCAAGTAAGGCCGCACGGAAGGATGACTTGAAACACTCGAGAGCGCCAGGTAGACACCGCGAACGAGTGCGGAAGTGCAACGTGTTGCAGCACAAGTACGTAGTGGAGTGACCATGTTGAAAAAACGCGACAGTGCAAGAAAACGCAGACTGATATTAGGATTAAAATCAGGAAGAAGTCTTACGGTTTCAGTATGGAGCTGAAATGGAGGAAGCTAGGAAAAACTAACAAACAAAGCAAAATGCAACCGTACATCGAACGCATGATCGCCGATAGGGTGTTTAAACACGTCCAGGGCAGACGATCAGACGCAGTGTTCAGCTGATGGCCGAACAGGCCACCGGTTAGAGTTCGAGTAAATGCAGGCGGCCCCGCGGTATCCCCTAGCCCGCGCATGACTGGTGGGGTTCGCGTGGCAGCGAAGCGTCAGTGAGGTTTACTGCTGAAGCATTTCTTTATCAGAAGCTAGTAAAACGGAACTAGGTTTTACACAGGACAGAAATATGGAACAATCAAATCAACCGTCGAGTATCCAAGAAAAGAAAGCGTCATAATCGGATGTACACCATCAGCAACTCGGCATGGGACACATTCTGTTCAGCTGAGAAACAATGCGGAAGTGCAACTGATGTCGGTAGCAGCTATGCACAAAAATGATCAAGTGGATTGCAACATCGAGTGCTTTAAAAAATAACAGCACGCTATCTGATAGTCAGCAGTCCATATCCCTTCCTATATGATCAACGATTGCCCCACACAAGTCTTAAGTTACAAAACAGTACTACTTTCGGATAGTATATGTAACGCGGGATCACGCCAAAGAAACCTGTTCTGCCTTACCATTTGGTCCAACCAGAAAACCCGACTGCCAGCGCCAAGTATTAGCGTGCGTGCCTTATCGTTGTAGATATGGTGATGCTGCCCGACGTCAACAATGCCTCACACAACGAAAGTAAAGGATATGGAGACACAACGGATTTCCAGATCGAAAGAAGAAATGTCGCAGTGCCGTAGAGCAGGACGACTAACGCTGCGGTCGGGTATAAGCCACAGATAGTGCAGATTCGTGGAAATAGTTCTGGTTTCGCAATACGTGAGTGGGCTCGACAATCGCATGTTTGTCACTACTGGTGCAGACGACTCGACTGCCACCAGTAAAATTGTTGTCAGTCACTAGAATACAGCTGGTGATCATGCAACAACGTTGCGCTTCAGTGGTAGGAAGTGCATAACAAGTGACGAGGTTTTGGGATTTTACCGCACCACCTTACGATTGAATGACGTTATTCACGCCATCATCATCATCATACACGTTAGCCAGAGGTGGGGAACACCTCAGCTACTGTGTCGCAATACACTGAAAAAAGGATGAAAAAATGCAACCGGTGCAATCCGGCTGAGCTACCGGTAACGGATGGTCATCGTTCCGGTAAGCTACCAGCCGGCTACTGTGCATCAAAAAAATTATTATGCAAATTATATAAGGCTAAATAATGAGATGGTGGTTGGAGAAGGAGGCTAAGAGAGATGGGATGGGACAAAGAAACTCACTGGACGAACGCCACTGAAGTCGGCTCCTAGCCATATCAGCAAGTGTGTCCAACCAAACGTGTTCATCGTCTTTCGGACCCCAACCAGGGAGCCGAGACGCTCCAACCGAGGCCAGCTCCGAAGTCATGGCCTTCATTCCCCTTGACCAAATCATCGCTTGGCCACCACTCCTCTTCTTCCATCCACACCCGCGGCGCGCAAACAACGCACGTCGCGGTAGTCGGTGGGCTGGCATGCGTACCACGTGGCCGAGCCATCGGAGCCTGGTGCGTGAAATAACGGTGCTGAGCGGTTCATTGCCTTTTCCTGTGCCGTAGACAAGGAGTCGAACACGCTCGTTGCTCACGCGGTGTTCCCACCAGATGTGAGCTAAATTGCGAAGGCACCGGTGGCCGAATGTAACTAGCCTCTTCAGGTCCGTTGCTTTAAGGGGCCAGGTTTCACAACCGTACAGTAGCGTCGAACGTACCGCTGTATTGTACACTCTACCCTTCAGGGCAAGAGTGATGTCGCGCCGGCGCCATAAGTGGCGAAGGTTAGCAAAAGCGCTCCGAGCTTTTGCTATACGGTTCGTGATCTCATCTACAATCCCACATGCGCTGATACAACTTCCCAGGTTATTCACATAATACCAATCAAGCAATTTTAACAGGGGCAGATCCATAATGCGTAAGGCATGAGTATGAGTGAACGCACTATGAGAGTGAATACTAAAAAAGGACAACATGGGGAATGGAACGACAATGAAAGTACACAGTTGAAGCGTTCGATAACACGTCGCAGAACCCGTTGGGGAAAAAATGTTCGGGTGAACAACAAGTAAATTTTTACATTTCACAATAGCGCCTACTGGACAAAGCACATTGAGCAAGAGGAAACGATCAAATGAATCGGATAAGGCAAAAGGCATAAACAGTACGTTGGTACGCTGCACCAACGCCTCGAAGCCACGCGAGTCGTCCGGTCCCGTATGCATACTCGAACCCATGACTTCCGGATTACAAGGCTGACATCATGTCTTTTCGGTCAAGGGCCGGGTGCGTCCCTGAAACCAAGGATCGCGATTTTAGTCAACATGTCGTATAAGTGGTGCTGCCGTGGCGCTTACCGCGTGACAAAAGCACAGCCTACCTAGCGGAGTGTAGAGCAGAAATCTGTCATTCCCGCACCCGGAAGTAAGATGGTGAATGAAAATGGAGTGCGGGAGCTGGTGCCAATGTTGTTCGCACACATGCTGTGATTGTGTTTGTATACTGCCAACAGTTCCCAATCACTGACTGCTTGGGACGATCTGTACACCAGATATCTTTGTGGCAAAGAGGAAATTATTGACAGTCTAAAAGAAAGGGTGGGAGAGAACCTGGACAGGTGAGAGAATGATTGCCGTCATCATTATCAACAGCTGCACATCAGCCATAAGAATGTCACCATCCAGCATAAAACTAGGGGGGCCTGATATACCACTGCTTCTGAGGAGCATGTTTATTTTATCGCTGGAATCTAGCCACTTATTAGATCAATGGAAAACGTCATTTATTATGTCTCGGTACAAAGGAGGTCCCAAACAGATGATTGATAACTACCGACCAATCCATCACACCGATAACCGTTCGGCTATTCGAAAAATTGATCAGAAAGGAGAGGATGAACTTTGTCGGTTCTGCTGCCCTGATCAATAATTCGCAGAACGGTTTTCTTAGCAAGCGATCGTGCCCCACCTGTCAAATGCATTACGTGTACCACATTTCAGAATCAATCGATTCCGGCTATGCAGTAGTAATTCTGGTTCTTGATATACACCAAGCATTCGACCGAGTACCTCACAAGGGACTGGTACAATAGTCGAAAAACTTTCGGATCTGGGACCCAGTACTAGGTTCGCTGACGTCATATCTGAGTGGTCGTCATCAGGTAGTCACCTTAAGTGACTATCGCTCTTCTCCACATTCCATCACCAGTGGGGTCATTCAAGGGAGGGTGATCGGTCCTTTACTCTTTCTGTTCTATACCAATGACATCACCAAATCTGTAAACATGGTACGCCATTCTTATTTGCTGACGATATCAAAATCGTCGATAAGCTTCGGCGTGACGAGCTTCACAGAAGCTTCGGCGTAAGGAGCTTCACAGAGTACTACTGCTCATTCACGATAACTTACATTCGCTTGAGTCATGGTGCGGCACATGGGTGATGAATCTCTCGGCTAAGAAATCAAACATATGTCTTACGGTTACTGCATCCCCGAAGGATCTATCACCCTAAACAATGAACACGTCCCTACACAGCTGTCCACGCGAGATCTCGGAATTAGGTACTTGTCTACCTAAAATTTCTCCGAACAGGCTCAATACCAAGTTGCACATGTCAGACAATCTATGTTCAATATATCGAACAAAATCCACACAACTCATGCTAGAGATGAGCTTTCAAGCTACTCATTCGTCCCATCCTCGAATACTGCAGTTTAATATACGGCAATATGAGAAAGGGTGACAACCTTACTGTGGAGCACCTGCAAAGGTCATTTACTAAGCATCTGATTGGTAAACATGCTGCTATGAGTTAAAGAGAACATTGCAAGGAACTTCAACTCGAATCACTTTGGGTTCGACGATTGAAGCACAACTTGTTTCTGCTTTTCAAAGTGATGCACAAAAAGACTTATTCCTATTGCCTACACTCGGATTGCAACAAAGATCAATGCGAGCGCTTCTCAACCAAGATTTTACACTGAATATATCGAAGGCTAGAAGGAACTTTCGCTCTAATTTCTTTTTGGTCAGATATAGCTATCTGCTGGACTACCAATAACGTTCAGGTCAGATGACGATGTGGCAACATTTAGAAGCAGACACTCCAGTTACCTTGATCTAAATACCATAATCACTGTATTCACATGGGAAAAAACTCTCGATAAACTATTCCAAGAAAGGCTAAACATCAACGTTTTCAAAACCATGATGTTGCCTTAACCATCCACCAGAACGTTACTACATGAAATGCATACCCCAATATTCTACCTATACTTATCACCTGTGCAAGAGCACGGATACTTCTGTACAAATTGATCTACCCTGCTACAGATACAGTTTCTCGTATCAGGAGAAATGCGCACATTCTTCATCTTCTTAGTATTATTAATATTATTAACGCTCCGCTGCCGCATAAGCACAATAAGAGGGTGTGAAGAAGAACAAGAGAAGTGGAACCTAAAATAAATACTTAATGCCCTAAGCAAGCAATAGGGGCCAAGGCGTCGACACATTGTG